CGCGGCTCACTAGGCTAATCCTCCGCCTAGTGGCGCTGGCACACTGGGTTCTAGTCCCAGTTGGGGCGCTGGATTCTGTCCCGGTTGCCCCTCTTCCAGGCCAGCTCTCTGCTGTGGCCCGGGAGTGCAGTGGAGGATGGCCCAAGTGCTTGGTCCCTGCACCCCATGGGAGACCAGGATAAGTACCTGGCTCCTGGCTCCTGCCTTTGGATCAGCGCGGTGCGCCGGCCATGGCGGCCATTGGAGGGTGAACCAACGGCAAAGGAAGACCTTTCTCTCTGTCTCTCTCTCTCACTGTCCACTCTGCCTGTCAAAAAAAAATCTATTTAATTCTTATCTATCTATCTATCTGTCTATCTATCTATTTATCATTCTGACAAAAACAACAACACATTTGACATAGTAAACTTATGTTACAAAAAACACAATTTGTAGTTTTATGATTAGAATATTACAGGTAACATCTACTCTACGTGTGTGGGAAAAATGAAATCTAAGCCTTTTTTAGAAGAGAAGTATTTTAATTTCTCCAAAACATGTTTGACTGTGGTTTTCTTGTTAAAATCATTCAGAATGCTAAAGCAACATCAGTGGATTTCAGTGCCACAAATGAGGGAAGTTCACTGCTATTGTTGCTAACCTCCATATCCAATCTGGCTATAGCTGCTTTGTCTTGCATTTATTCATGTATTGCATTTCATTTTGTTTTATAAATTTTTATTCTGCTACATGTTGGCTTCCTGTTGGATAACTGAATCCTTATGATTGGTTTAAATTGTCTTTTCAATCAGGGAATAGGAATTTTACCTTTTGTAATTCTAGGTTTTTATTGTTTTGGCTACCAGCAGATGATTTGTCCTTTGTTATGTGCTCTTACCCACATTTTTTCTGGTTTTAAATCTATTTGTTTACTGATTTGTTATTTATCCTTTCAAAACAACAACACACATGATATAGTATCCCTTAGAATACAAAACACACAACAAATGGGAATTTTTGATTAAAGCATACAGGAAGCACCTATCACATGATTATATGCTAACAAAGTGAAATTTAAGCCGTTTGTAGAAGAGGAGGATTTTACATTTCGTCCAAAATGGGTTTGACTGTGTTTTTTTTTTTTTTTTGATAAAATGCTTTGGAATGGTAAATCAACTTGGTTGGTTTTCAGTGGCACAAACCAGAATAATTACTTCTCTTGGTCATAACCTCCATATCAGATCAATGACAACCTCTTTGGTTTGTTTTTTTTTTTTTGGTATACATTTTATGTATTACATTTCATTTTGGTTTATAATTTTATTATGTTATATTTGGCTTCATGTTGGATAATGGAATCCTGGTAATTTGATTAACTGGTCATTTGAATCAGGACACATGAATTCTACCTTCTGGAATTCTGGGTTAGTTTTATTGTTTTGTCTTCCATCAGCCATTTTTTCCTTTGTTTATGGGCTATTCACACGTTTTTCTGGTTTGTAATTTTACTTGTTGTTTATTCATTTACTTATTTATTCTATCAAAAACCAAGACAATTAGACATAGTATCCCTTAATACAAAGAACACCAATAATTTGGATTTTAATCATTCTAAAACTATAAGGAACAGCTACCCTTATGCTCTATGTGTCTGGGAAAAGTGAAATTTAAGCCGTTTCTAGAAGAGAAGGACTTTAGTGTCTCCAAAATGAGTTTAACTGGTTTTCTGGTTAAAATTATTCAGAATGGTAAAGCATCTTGGCTAATTTTGGGTGCAAAAACCAGAGAAATGCTGGCCGCCGGGCACTGCCCTCCCCGGCCCGGCCCTGGCTGGCACCTGTTCCTGTGCATGGAGAGCTGCAGGGAGGGGCCCGTGATAGAGCAGACCCCAGGGACAGGAGTGAGTCGGACTTGGAGAAGGCCGCCTGGTGCAGCCACGTGATGATGGAGTTGGCACCCTCCTGGATGGTGCGCCACTGGACGCTGTCCAGGTCCGAGGCCTGGTCTGAGCCAGCCACCTCCTCGAGGCAGTCCTGGGGTGCCTCTGCTGGCCACTAGTCCTGCCCAAAGCCCGGGCCTTGCGGCGCCTGTGCAGGGCTGAGCCGATGCAGCAGTGCAGGAGCTCCTCCTCTGAGCACGGGCTGGGGGAGCTGTGGTCCCTGCCTCCCTGGCGCGGGGCCTGGGGGACCGTGGGCTCCGGGTCTCCCAGGTGGCTGGCCTGGCCGGCTGCTCACAGGGCTCGGGCTCGCTAAGTGAGCTGGCCGAAGAGCTCAGAGAATAGCAAGGTGGGGGTCTCCTTGGCGATCAGCCGGGGCTGGGCTGGGGTGGGGGGCGGCTGGGCCTGAGAGGCCACCTTGACTGGGGCCCGGGCCTCCTTCCCGCCCCGCCTCAGGGCCCGCGGGATCGTGGACAGTCGCCGTGGGTGCGGCCCGGCATAGGAGGGCGCCTCCTCAGAGTCGTAGAAGCAGTACACGGCCTCCTTGGTGGGCGTCCTGAGGCACAGGGACTGCTTCCCCCCTTCCCCCCAGCCTGGTCCAAGTGGGTACTTGCGGGCTGGCCCAGGGGCAGCTCCAGCCCGGTCCGGCTCCTGCCTGTTCCCCGGCCCTGCTCCGGGCTCTGGCCGCCGCCCCCGGCCTTGAGCCGGTTCCTGGAGATCTGGCTGGCTGGGGCCGCGAGGCCGGGGGGCTCCCGCCTGTCCAGCCAGCCTCGGGGCTGCTCCCTGGTGGGCCCTTGCAGGGTCTCCTCACTGAGGGACGCGGCGCTGGAGAAGCTGACCGGAGTGCCCTCGGCCGAGTCGGCGCAGGAGTCGTCCTCCTGGGCCCGGGTGGGCACCAGCATGTAGACGGGGATGGGCAGTGCCCGGCGGCAGGGCACCAGCGCCAAGGCCACCTTGCAGAGCCGCACGGGCAGGGCCGCCCCCAGGCACTGGCACAGCAGCTCCAGCTCCTGGTCCGCGGCTGTGCGGGTGCGGGAGCCCGCGGGTGCCGGCCCCTCCTGGCGTCCGGCGGCCTCTTCTCACCAATGGTGGCTGGTGCGGAGGTCGGGGCAGGTGGGCAGCAGCAGCCCCAGCTCCAGGTCCTGCTGCACGTAGTGCTTGTGCAGGGCCAGTGCACTGTGTCTGGAGGCGCAGAAGTTCTCGTCCAGCTTCTTCACGGTGAAGCGGATGCTGCAGGCGTCCAGCTCAGAAGGCAGGCGGCAGGGCTGCCGGCAGTTGGGGATGTCCAGGAAGCGCTTCCCGTAGCTCTCCCACTGCAGGCTGACCTGGCTGCCCTTGGGCTGGCCGAGCTCCGCGGCCGGCGGCGTCTTGCTGCTGCCGGGCGGCATGGTCTGCCCGAGGCTGTCGGTCAGCTCCCTGGGGCTCACCATGCTGCTGCCCAGTCCGCCTCAGGGGTCACTGGGGATGGAACTGGCGATGGCTGGGCTCTCTCGAAGCTGCCCAGGGAGCTCACGGAGCTGCAGCGGCTCAGCACCAGCGGCGTCTCCTGCACACAGTTCTCCGACGAGCTGGACAGCGTGGCGTCCTCCATGCCCAGGCCCCAGCCGCGGCCCCGCCAGTGGGCCTGGATGGCCATGGGTAGGGAGGCAGCCCCTGGCCCATGTTACGCCCGGTCGAACTCCGCCTCTTTGGGGCTGGCCTCCTCCAGGCCCTCGAGGGAGGAGTCGCTGTCCAGGTCTCTGGCCTCGCTGGGGGTGGGGCGTCCGGCCGAGGACAGCGAGCTGCAGTGGGTCAGCAAGAGGGGCCCCTCCTGCGCCACCAGCCTCTGCAGCGCCCTGTTGGTCATGACCGGCCAGCCAGCTCCCAGCTTCTCGGGCACCTGCTCAGGCCCTCAGACGGCAGCCAGTGCTGCTTCCAGGCCCTGGGGGCCGCCTGGGGGCCGCCAGGATCCCTGGTGCCTGCCCTGCCCGCGGCCTCCAGCAGAGGTACGTTCTGATAGGTGGGCGACAGCTTGATGGTGGGCACGCGGGCGTTGGCGCCAGCGGTGTCCCGGGTGGGCCCACGGTCGAGCCGAGCGGGCCGCGGCTGCCCGCCCAGGAGCTCCTTGCAGTGCTTGGGCAGCGCGGCAAGCGGGCAGGTCCTCATGTGCTCCCGCGGGCAGTAGCCGTCACTGCTGCTGCTGCTGTTGAGGCTGTCGTCGGACAGGCTGGCATGAGCTGCCTTGAGCAGCAGGGGATGCGCCTGCCCTCCCCACCCCACCCCACCCCTGCGCACCTCCTGCCCGGGATCCTCGGAGCTGAGGCTGAAGCTGTAGTCAGACGAGGTGTGCAAGGCCGAGATGTCCTCCATCAGATGGTCGCTCCGCGGACCGCCAGCACCAGCTTGGTTTGGGTTTGGCCGCCACAACAGCCTTGCTGCCCTCCTCCTTCTCGGGCTCCAGACTGCGGCGGGCTGGCGGGGTGCGGCCAGTGCCTGGCCCTGCAGGAAGGGGCTGCCCAGGAAGAGGGAGAGCATGGCTGGGCTGGCGGGCTCCGCGGTGGTGGCGGCCAGGGAGGGCGTGTCGTGGTCGTCCTCGAAGCAGCCCCAGTCGGAGGCGTAGTACCGCGCCAGCCCGTCCAGGTGCCACAGGGGCAGCAGTGGCTTCTTGGCGGCGGCTGCAACCTCGGCCTCCGCCTCGGCCAGGGCCTGCTTCTCCAGGTGGCCGAGCGCCTGCGCCAGGTGCCGGGCATCAAGCTCTGCCTCTAGTGCCCGCTGCTTGCACATATAGAGGATGGGCACGCAGGTGCCGGGGGACATGGCCGTGGCAGCTGCCTGGTGCCTGGCGGGCTGGTAGGCCAGCAGGTTGTGCAGCGCAGCGGCATTGCCCATGGCGATCATTTTGTGCCCAGAGTGCACCAGGTTGTGCAGCATGCCCACGGCGCCCAGGTCCCACAGCAGCTCCTGGTCTCGCGTGCTGCAGGCCGACAGGTTCCAGAGTGTGCAGCACGTGTTGCTCACAATGGTCAGGCTGTGCGAGGTCAGGTGCTGCAGCAGCTTCTGCAGGCAGTTGTCGCGGAGCACCTGCCTGGGTGGGGGAGGGTGGAGGCGGGGTCAGGTGTGGCTGGAACAGACCCTCTGGTGATTGGGCGGCCTTTGTAGGCGTTTGGGGGCCTGGACCAGCAGGTAGGAGGGGTGGTGGTGGTGTGTCTCTGTGTTTCTCAAATACGTTTTAAAATAAAATTCAAAAAAAACCTCAGCGAAATCTAGTTCTCTTGTTTCAAATTTCCATATCAGATCTGGATACTGATCTTGGTTTGGTTGTTTTACATTTTTTCATGTGCTATATTTCATTTTGGTTTATAAATTTTATTATGTTACCTTACGGCTTCATGCTGGATGATGGAATTCAGGTACTGGGTTAATGATGTTGTTTTAATCAGGAATTCTAGGTTTGTTTTATTGTTTTGGCTACCAGCAGAATATTTTCCTTTGTTTATGGGCTGTTCTCCAGATTTTTTCTGGTTTTAAATTTATTTGTTTATTCATTTGTTCATTTATTTATTCTGTCAAAAACAAAAAACCCAAACAAAGAGAGGCTCTAGACAGATCTGATATGGAGGTGATTAACAAAAGAACTGTATTCTTTTTGTTTGTGCCACCCAAATCTGGGAAAATTGCTTGAGCATTCTGAATGAGTTTGGGAAGAAAACCTCAGTTAATCTCAATTTAGAGAAACATAAAACGTTCTCTTCTACAGAGGGCTTAATTTCAATTTTTCCAGACAAGTAGATCATAAGAGTAGGTGTTTCCTGCAGTTTTTTAATCATAAAATGACAGTTTGTTGTGTTTCTTTGTATCGACAGTGATACTATTTCTAATGTATTGTTTTTCATAGAATAAATGAATAAGCATACAAATAAATTTAAGACAAGGAAAAATTTGGGAGTAGTCCCTAAACAAAGAAATATGCAGCTGCTGGAAGCCAAAAAAAAAATACCTGGAATTGAAGAATTAAAATGCTTGAACCCTGATTAAAAAGGAAAATTAATCCAATTACCTGAATTGTATTATCGGCATGAAGGCAAAATGTAACATAGTTAAAATATAAACCAAAAGGAAATGGAATTGATGAATAAAATTCCCAAAATACTAAGAAACAAAGATTTTGTTCCCAGATCTGATATGGAGCTTTGCAAAAAGAACTGGATTTTTCTGGTTTGTTGCACCCAGAACAGGTCAAGTTGCTTTATAATTCTGAATTATTTTAACAAGGAAATCACAGTCAAACTTGGTTTGTGAGACTTAAAAATCTTCTCTACTACAAATTATAATTCTGAATTATTTTAACAAGGAAATCACAGTCAAACTTGGTTTGTGAGACTTAAAAATCTTCTCTACTACAAAAGGGTTAAATTTCACTTTTCCAGACACATTGATCATAAGGGTAGGTGTTCCTTGTAGTTTTCTAATCATAAAACTCTAATTTCTTGGGTTTTTCTGTACAATAGGGATACTATGTCAAGTGTGTTTTTCTGACAGAATACACAAATAAATAAATTTAAAAATCATAAAACTGTGCAGAACAGCCCATAAACAAAGAAAAAGGCAGCAGCTGGAAGCCAAAGCAATAAAACAAACTTAGAATTCCAGAAGGTAAAAAACCTACACACTGATTAAAGAAGAGCATTTATCCATTTACTTAAATCCATTATCTGGCATGATGCCAAAATGTAACGTAATAAAATTCATAAACCGAAATGCAGTGCAATACATGAAAAAATACAAAAAAAAAAAAAGAGAAAACCACCACAGCCAAAGAGGCTGTAGCCAGAACTGATATGGAGCTCTGTAACAAGAGAACCAGCTTTTTCTAGTCTGTGGCACCCAAAACAGGCCAAGATTGCTGATTTTGAATTCCAAATGATTTTAATAAGAAAACTGAAGTTAAACTTGTTTTAGAGACATTTAAAATTCTTCTCTCCCACTTAAATTTCATTTTTCCCATAAGATAGATCATAAGGGTAGTTTTCTCATCACAAATCTCCAATTTGCTGTTTTAGGTATCATATTGGATATTATGTCAAATGTGTTTTTATTTAGGACAGAATAAATAATCCAATGAATAAACAAATAAATTTAAAGTCAAAATAATGTGGTGAACAGTCCATAAACAAAGAAAATATTGACTAGTTGAAGCCAAAACAATAAAAGAAAATCTAGAATTCCAGAAGGTAAAATGCCAGTGCCCTGATAAAAAGAAAGGGTATTTGCATAATTACCAGAATTCCATTATGCAGCCTGAACCCAAAATGTAAAATAATAAAATTTATAAGCCCAAATGAAATGAAATACCAAATAAACCAACAGTCTGCAGCCAGAACTGATATGGAAGTTAGCAACAAGAGAACCAGATTTTTCTTGTTTGTGCAACCAAAAACCAGACAAGTTGTTTTAGGATTCCAAATGATTTAACAAGAAAATCGCAGTAAGATTCATTTTGGAGAAATTAAAATCCTTCTCTTGCACAATACAGTTAAAATTTAATTGACCCGGATGCATACATCATAAGGGTAGGTGTTCCCAAAAGTTTTCTAATCATAAAACTCCAATTTTTTTGTGTTTTATTGTATCATAAGTGATACAATGTCAATTTTATTGTTGTTTATGACAGAATAAATATATAAACAAATGAATAGATTGAAAACAAGGAATAAAAGGGGCAATAGCTCATTAACAAAGGAAAAGTTGGCTGCTGTAAGGGAAAATAAGAAAACGAAAGTAGGATTGCAGAAGGTGAAATGCCTGAGACCTGATTTAAAAAAGAAAATTAATTCAATTACCAAAATTCTTTAATCTGGCGTGAAGTCAAAAAGTAACATAATAAAATATATAAACTGAAATGAAATATAATACATTAAAAATACCTAAAAAAGCAAATAAACAAAGAGGCTGTATCCAGATCTGATATGGAGTTTTGCAATGAGAGAAGCAGATTTTTCTCCTTTGTGCCACACACAAAAAGTGTGTAACAGCCCATAAACAGCTGGCTGCTGGAAGCCAAAACAAAACAAAACAAAAAAAAGTATGATTCCAGAAGGTTAAATGCCAGTGCCCTGATTAAAGAAGACCATTTTTACAATTATGTAAAATTATGTAGAACGAAGTCAAAATGTAACATATTAATATTTATAAGCCAAAATGAAATGTAATGCATTAAAATGCAAAACAAACAAGCAAAGAGGCTGTAGCCAGATCTGATATAGAGCTTAGTAACAGGAGAACTGATTTTCTGGTTTGTGCCTCTCAATACTGGCCAAGGGGCTTCAGCATTTCAAATGATTTAAACAAAAAAATTGTAGTCAAATTCATTTTGGATAAACTTAAAATCCTTCTCCTTCACTTTTCCCAGACACATAGATCATAAGGGTAGGTGTTCCCTGTAGTTTTCTAATCATAAAACTCCAATTTAATGTGTTTCTTGTATCATAAGCGATACTATGTCAAATGCAGTTTTGTTTTTAAAAGAATAAATAACAATGAATAAACAAATAATTAAATTTGAAACAAGCAAACTTTTGGTGAACAGCTCAAAAACAAAGGAAAATGCAGCTGTGGTAAGCCAAAACAATAAAACAAATAAGGATTCCAGAATGAAAAAATGTGTGAGCCCTGAGATATATATATATATATAGGTAATTAGATAAATAATATATATGTATATTATATTATACATATAATAATTTATATATATTCAGGTACTTAGATAAGCAGCTCAATTCACAATAGCTAAGACATGGACTCAACCTAAATGCCCATCAACAGAAGACTGGATAAAGATATTATGGGATATGTACTCTAAAGAATAGTATATAGCAGTAAAAAATGAAATCCAGTCATTTGCTACAAAATGGAGGAATCTGGAAAACATCATGGTGAGTGAAATAAGCCAGTCCCCAAGCGATAAATATCATATATTCCCCCTGATCTGTGACAACTAACTGAGCATCTAGAAGAAAACCTGTCAAATGAAACAGACACTATCCAGGCTGTGACTCAGGGATGCAGACGCTGATGGCCCAGCTTCTCCCAGAGAACCCTGGAGAGGCAAGACTGGAAGCAGTCCTGGAACTTCGGAGGCTGGATGGGGCAGTGTGCAGAAGCATCCTGTGTCGCCGTGGTGACGGCCAGTGGGGAGTGCGCCTGCACCTGGCGCTGTGACCCGGAAGTGCACCCGGTCAGCCTGGCGCCTACAGCCCAGTGGTGCTCAGGTGGGAGTCAGCGCCGTGTCCGCTCCTGCCGAGAGCCTGCACGAGCCGTGAGTAGCTGTCTGCGATGCTGCTGGCCGAGCCTGAGGGAGACCCAGCGGCCCCAGGGCCAGGCCGGGATCAGGAGAGGCTGCCGCGCCGTTTCCCAGGCGCGTTTCTCTTCTTCGGCCCCTTCCGGAAGCAGCGGCCTTGGCGGGCCTCTGTCCTGCCAGCAGACCGGGCCCCCTTGGAGGTGAGTGACGCGCAGGCTGTTGCGGTTTCCCACTGGGTCCCGACGGTGCGAGTGGCGTCGCGGTCGTGCTGTGCGAGCAGCTGTGCGAGAGCAGAGGTGGCTCTGTCTCCTCCCGGAATGGCCCCGCGTTCCCGTGTGTTTGCTTTGTGATGGCCCAGCCGCCCTGCTCTAGACCTCTGAGACTGTGGACTGGAGGAACAAGGGCAAAAATGCTGGTCCGTTTCCTGGTCTAGGAGGACAGTTTCGGGTTCCTCGCATTTGGTGTGATGTTAGGGCTCTGTGGATTTTCCGCAGTGCTTTTTGATTATTATTTTGGTAAAGTTGGTAGTAATGTCCTCGCTGTCATTTCTGTTGTTAAGTCACTGGAGTCTGGTCTCTTTTTTCCCCCTGTTTCCTGTGGATAAATGTTTTGTCAGTTTCACTGCGTTTTCAAGAACTGTATTTTGGCAGGCGCTGCGGCTCACTAGGCTAATCCTCTGCCTGCAGCACCAGCACACCAGGTTCTAGTCCCAGTTGGGGCGCTGGATTCTGTCCCGGTTGCTCATCTTCCAGTCCAGCTCTCTGCTGTGGCCCGGGAAGGCAGTGGAGGATGGCCCAAGTGCTTGGGCCCTGCACCCCATGGGAAACCAGGAGAAGTACCTGGCTCCTGGCTTCAGATCGGTGCAGTGCATCGGCCATAGGGCAATTTGGGGGGGGGGAGGGTGAACCAACGGAAGGAAAACCTTTCTCTCTGTCACTGTCCAACTCTGCCTGTCAAAAAAATAGCCGTTAAACCTCAAAATATTTGGTATTATAGCTTTAAAAAAAACAAGAAATCATTATAGACAGGGAGGTTTTCATAGGCCTATGCTTATTGCAGTAGGGTGCACAATAGCCAGGCTATGCAGTCTGTATATGTATGCAGTCTGCATATGTACATAGCCCATAATGTCTTTATTCAGTCTTAAGGCGATAGATATTTAGGCTGATTGCATATTTTTGCTGCTGTGATTTGAGCTGTAGTAAATACGGGGGCAGCGATAACTCTTTTTTCATATGCTGATTTCACTTCCCTTAGGTATATTCCCAGGGGTGGAATGGCTGTGTCATATGCTATGTCCGTATTCAGATTTCTGAGGGATCTCCATGCTGTCTTCCACAGTGGCAATACCAGTTTACATTCTCACCAGCAGTGGATTAGGGTGCCTTTTTCCCCACATTCACAAGGCCATTGTAGTATTGCTTTGCATTTCCCTGACGGCTAGTGATCCTGAGCATTTTTTTTTTTCTTTTTGACAGGCAGAGTGGACAGTGTCAGAGAGAGAGAGAGAAAAAGGTCTTCCTTTTTCCGTTGGTTCACCCCCCAATTGCCACTCCGGCAGCACGCTGTGGACGGTGCACTGCGCCGATCCAAAGCCAGGAGCCAGGTGCTTCTCCTGGTCTCCCAAGTGGGTGCAGGGCCCAAGCACCCAGGCCACCCTCCACTGCACTCCTGGGCCACAGCAGAGAGCTGGCCTGGAAGAGGAGCAACCGGGACAGAATCCGGCGCCCTGACTGGGACTAGAACCTGGGTGCCGGTGCCGCAGATGGAGGATTAGCCTAGTGAGCCGTGGCACTGGCCGATCCTAAGCATTTCTGCATATGTTTGTTGGCCATTTAGATTTCCTTTCTTGAAATATTTAGCCTGTTGAAGTCCCTTGCCCATTTCTTGAGTGGGTGGTTTGTTTTGCTGTTGTTGAGTTTCTTGAAAGTTTCTGGTAGGTTATCCTTTATCAATTGCATACTTTGCAACTGTTAGTTGCCTCTTCACTTTGCTGAGTGTCTCTTTTGCAGTGCAGAAGCTTCTCAATTTGTTGTTGTTGTTTTGGTGTCCTCTTCTATTCCTTTCTTTAATCTTTTGTGATTCTCCAATATTGAAAATTCTTGGTTAAATTTATTCTTAGCTGGGGCCGATGCCATGGTTCACTTGGTTAATCCTCCACCTGCGGTGCCAGCATTCCATATGGGTGCCGGTGGTTCTAGTCGCAGTTGCTCCTCTTGCAGTCCAGCTCTCTGCTGTGGCCCATGAAGGCAGTGGAGGATGGGCCAAGTGCTTGGGTGCCTGCACCCATGTTGGAGACCAGGAAAAAGCTCCTGACTCTTGGCTTCAGATCAGCATAGCTCCAGCCGTGGTGGCCATTGTGGGGGGTGAAAGGAAGACTTTCTCTGTTTCTCTCACACTCTAACTCTATCTGCCAAATAAATTAAAAAATTCCAAGCTATTTTATTTTCTTTGTAGCTATGTGAATGGGATTGGTCTTTGAAGTCCTTTCTTAGGCTAGGAGCTGATAGCAAACAGACAGAAACATCGTTCCTGCCTTGGGAAGGCTCTGGGGCCAGCACATGGCCAAGGAGGACAGTGCTGCCGGTGGGAGCTGGGTTCCAGTGCCACTTCCCAAGTGTGCCTTTGCAGCAGTGCCATTCCTCAGAGCTCTGGGGCTCCTACACTGTGGGTGCCTCCCTCTGCCCCTCTCCCCTGCAGCACAGAAGGCCTGGGCACCCTGCTGTGTGAGACGCCCAGTGATTAGTCCTGGCCGAGTTTTGTTACCTCCTGACACGTTTGCCCAGGAAGACAGATATGTGAGCCGCACAGGGGTCATGCAGGGAGGCTGTGCATCGGCTTTTCTTCCCTGACCTAGGAGCGAGGAACGCTGTTACAGATGGTGCAGAGGAAGTTGCCTTGACTTGTTGTGCTGTTATTTTTTTCAGGATTAGGTTTGGGAAAAAGTGGTTTGGGAAAAAAGTGCCTCTGATGGGAGCCTGGAGCCGAGGCACATCATGTGCCTGGCTTACAGAGCCCGACTTGTCCTCAGCATGGTTGGTTCCTGAATTTCTCATTTAAAGGCAAGATTCTCTAGATCCTATTTCTTTTCTTTTTTTAAAGATTTCTTTATTTATTTGGAAGTCAAAGTTATACAGAGAGAAGGAGATGCAGAGGGGGGGTCGTCCATCCAATGGTTCACTCCCCAATTGGCTGCAATGGCTGGAGCTGTGCCTATCCAAAGCCAGGAGCCAGGAGCTTCCTCCAGGTCTCCCACTTGGGTGCAGGGGCCCCAAGGCTTGGTCCATCTCCCACTGTTTTCCCAGGCCATAGCAGAGAGCTGGATGGGAAGTGGAGCAGCCAGGACAAGAACCGGCACTCATATGGGATGACGGTACATCAGGCCAGGGCATTAACAGGCTGCACCACAGTGCCAGCACCTCTAGCTCCTATTTCTGAATACCAAAATGTGGTCACCCTTTAACCTGATGTGAATCTTTTTTTTTAATTAATTGAAAGGGAGAGAGAGACAGACAGACAGACAGAATCGAACTTCCATTTGCTGGTTCACTCCCCAAATGACTGGGCTTGGCCAGGACAAAGCCAGGAACCAGGAGTTTCTTCTGGGTCTCCCACATGGGTGCAGAGGCCCAAGTACTTGGGTCATTTTCCGCTGCTTTCCCAGGCACATTGGCAGAGAGCTGGATTGGAAGTGGAGCAGATAGGATTTGAATTAGCGCTCACATGGGATGCTGTGCTGCAGGCAGCAGCTTTACCCACTATACCACAGCACCGGCTCCTGATGTGAATCATTCCTACACAGCATTGGTTTCTTCCTTCAGTTTATTCTCCTTGCTTTTGGTTTAGATTGGTACACTTGTTGCAGCCTTCCTCTGGTGACGAGAAATCTACCAACGTGTCTATGCAGCTCTTCAACGCAGGGACTGAGCAACTCATCGTCACCTTAGAAAACATTGGCCAGGAACCCCTGGAGACACTGGAGGTCACCTCCAAACTGCTCCCCACCAAGGGTAGGTGTGGTCAGTGCGTCAGACCCTGGGAAGTTTGCGTTGTTGCCTTGCACAAGCGATGTTTTACATAGTTACTGTTCAGACATCCTTTAGTTTGGTTCAACACTGGTTGGGGTGGAGATCACACACCACATGCTACAGGCATGAGACAGACCCCTTAATGCCCTTGGTTCCCATTACTGAATCTGAACAGGGGTCAGATCCTCAGCAGACTGGTTACTGAGTTGGAGACTGGGAGATGAGAGCAGGCCGATCCCATGGTTCCCACAGCCCAGGGTGGCCTCCTGACTCAGCCCTTGAGGGCTGGGCCAGGCTGAAGCCAGGAGCTAGGAACTCCATCCAGGATTCCCACGTGGATAGCCGGGGCCCAAGCACTTGGGGAAACCTCCGCTGCTTTCCCAGGCTCTTTAGCAGGGAGCTGGATTAGGAGTGGAACAGCCACGTCTCGAACTGAAGCTCATCTGGGATGCCGGCATTGCAGGAGGCTGCTTAACCCTCGGCACCACAGTGCCAAGGCCAAGGTGTAGCTTTTCCACCTTTCTGGGCTGCTGTTTCCTTTGCTGTTGCTGTGCCTTTGAACTCTTCTGGAACTCAGTCCTGTGCCAGCCATCCCTTTCTTTCCTGCCTTTTATCAGGACAGTATTCATTGCAGACTTGTAGGAATCCTATCTAAACAATTGTGTGCCTGCTATGTAGCTTCCATACCTAGCATTCTGCTGCATTTGCTTTGTGACACATCTCTCTGGCCTCCTACCTGCATACCTCCCCTCCCCACTCCAGTATCTTGTCTAAAGTTCCAGAATTCAGAAGCACCGATGAGTGCTTCTGAGCTGGATGTTTTTGATAAAATGCGTATGTGCTGAAACGTGCAGGTCTAACATGTTCCATCTGATGAGTCCAACAGATGCTGGCCCATGTCATTGTGTAATCTAAGCCCTCGTCAAGATATAATACAGAACATTTCCATCCCCCCAGAAAGTTCCCCAGCTTTCTTCCCAGCAAGTCCTAGTGCTACCCCAGGAGCAAATGCTCTTGTCTGTCATCTGTGTGCTGGGCAGCCCCACTGGGTGTTTGCTGCTGGTGATGCAGGGTGTGGGTGACATGCATGGCAACCAGGCAGGTGGCAATTGGCAGACATGCAGCCCAGTCACCTTCTCTTCCCTGCCTCGAGTTTAATTTTCTGCTGGGTCTTGCCCACACCTGGTCGGTCTTAAAAATCTTTAGACGTTTATTTTCAGGCTGGCACTGTGGTGTAGCTGGTTGAGCCACTGCCTGTGGCACTGATATCCCATGTGGGTACCAGTTTGTGCCCCAGCTGCTCCACTTCTGACCCAGCTCCTTGCTAGTATGCTGGGAAAGCAATGGAAGGTGGTCCAAGTGCTTGGGTCCCTGTGGGAGACTTGGAGGAAGCTCCTGGCTTTTGACTTCTGGCTCCAGCCTGGTCTGGCTCTGGCCGTTGGAGCCATTTGGGGAGTGAACCAGCAGATGGAAGAGTTCTCTCTCTCTGTTCTTTCTCTTTGTAACTCTGCTTTTCAAATAAAATAAATCTTAAAAAAAGAAATTTACTTTCATTTCTCTGAAAGGCAGAAAGACAGAGAGAGAGAGACAAAGATTATCCATAGATTGTTTTAACTCCCAGAGGGCCAAAGGCCTGCAACAGCCAGGGCCAGGACAGGCCAAAGCCAGAACTCAATTCAGGCCTCTCGCATGGGTCACAGGGATCCAAGTACGTGAGCCATCACTCAGGACCTCCCAAGATGTGCACTGGCAGGAAGCTGGAATCCAGAGCAGAGCTGAGCCTGAAGGTGAAATGCAGGGGTCCCAGGCATTTAATGGCTGAGCCAGATGCTGGCCCCTGATGTGTCCCTGTGTTGTGTTGCTTTGCTCGGCTTGTCTCTAGTTAGGCCTAGGATGCCTGGGGCCTGTGTTACTCTCCTCCTTTTTATGGACAGGGGAAGTAAAGGCAAAAGAGGTGACTGACTAAGGTCACATGGCAGGTGGGCGGGGAACCAGTAGGAGGACCAAAGTCTCCTGATTCTCAGCTTTGGTGTAGTCACCCTTAGGAGGCAGAAGCATGATAATCATGTAACACACAGCCCGGTGTAGCCATCTCAGAGCAACACAGTTAGGAGTGAAAAATTAAAACCAGCATTCTTTCTTTAGTTTCCTCCCAAGCTGCCATACATCTACATGTGGAATTAACTTAATGGAAACAAACCCTCTGCTTCCAGAATATACAAAGGGAATAATTCCTGGTTCTTTTGCTGTACAAAGCAAGGCTGCCAGTGGTGACAGATGACCACCAGCACTAGAAGCTGGGAACGTGCACCAGGCTCCTGTGTGGGGCCATGGCGACAGCAGCAGGTTTGCCTGTGGATATTAACGAGCATCTATTTCCATTCTTGCCTCAGCTTCACCTTGGGCCCGCCGAGCCTACTGAATGCCTGCTCTGTGGATTGAATGCTTCTCTGGTGCCTGCAACATTTTCTTTGTGCCGCTGGTAGAGTTATTTTCTATCTTAAAATTAGGAAGAGCTCCCACCCTAGAGCTCATTCCATGTGCCAGATGTGAGGCACTTGACATTCTTTTTCCATATGAAGTTGTCCCAGTGACCACAGGAGGGCTATCAGGGTGGGTGCTCTGATAATCTGATAATTTCACTGTGACATCCTCCATGCCTGAGAACCCAGAGCAGTGCTTGTCACTTAGCAGGTGCTGCACAAGTGTCAACCACGGTTCTCACCTCCTGGGGCCATCCTGAGAATGCAGGACACAGGTGGACAGTACTGGGCACCGAAGCGCTGGACCCAGGCTTGCTTTGGCAGTGGCGGTGTTTGGTGCACCCTCCTCTCTGCAGGACTGCATTTGTGGTCTCCGTGCCCGATGCCGCTAAACCTACTGGCACCCTGTGTCCTTTCCTGATCCTGCCCGACAGCTGGGAGACACTGAGGGTCCCGGCAGGGCCCCCACAGTGCTTTAACGTGTCTGTGCTCACCCTGAATAACCCCCCATTCTTCAGACACCAACCTCAGAGAAAGAAAAGTTTCTTGTTCTGTTTTCCCTCCTCCCGTCTTCCTTGCTATCCTGACCTATTTTACGACAAAAAATTATTTGTTTAATTTATTTGAAAGTCAGAGACAGAGAGGCTAAGGAAGACAGAGAGGGAGAGAAAGATCCCATCTGCTGGTTCACTCTTAGGGTGTGCATTAGCAGGGAGCTGGAGTCAGAAGTGGAGCTGGAACTCAAACTTGCAGGCGTCTCAAGTGTTTTTTTTTTTTTTAATAAAATTCTTTTTTCTTTACTTTTTAAATGTTGGTATATTTATTTGAAAGGCAAAGTGACAGAGGAATAGATCTTTCATCTTCTGGTTCATTTTCCAAATGCCCACAACAGCTGCAGCTGGGCCAGGTCAAAGCTGGGAGCCTGGACCTCCAACCGGATCTCCCACGTTGGTGGCAGGGACTCAAGTAATTGAGCCATTATCTGCTGCCTCCCAGAGGAAGCTGGATAGGGGAAGCCGATTAGCTGGGACTTGAACCAGGTGTTCCAGCATGGGATGTGGGTACTCCACAGGGAGGTTTAATCTGCTGCAGTACAATACCTACCCGCGGGTGACTTCTTAACCACTGTGCCCCACTCCTGCCCGACTTCTGCCCCTCCTGGCTTATTTTAACTCCTTTGCATGTTCAGTGTGCAGGGAGGGTTAGTGCTCTGAAGTATCGGGCCAGCCTTTATGGGCCCCTCAAGCTTTTACGGGACAAGCTCGTCCCCGTGTATACACATTCCCTCCAGAGAGATGAGGCGTTACACACCACCACATTTCAAGACCAGGATTGTCTACTGATTTAACCCTCCTACTTATAATTCACCTGCAACAAGTCTTCCTTTGTAGGCATGGGAAGATGCCAACTTTCACTCTTGCTTAAATAGTCCCAGATTCAGAAAAGTCTACTGTTTGTTTAAGCTTTCCAACAAATGTCCTGTGATCCACGTGTGTGAGGGTGTGCACACATGCAGACACGTGCACGTATGTAGCCACACCCCCACACACTGCTGGATGTCTTTTTTTCTTCAACAAGAAGTGCTGACTCCATGCCAGCGTGATTGAAGATTCATGCAGGGTTTGATCGGGCCGAGCTTCTTGGGCTGCGTCTTTTCCCACCGATGCTGGAGCTGAGCCCGGGTGCAGGGAGAAGCCGGCAAGCACAGCAGAGCTGAGCGGTCCCTGCTCGTCACCCAGTGCTACTCGGTGTTAAGATGCTGACACCACTTTTCTCAGGGGGAGAATGAGTGATGTGCGCACCACGGTTGACATCTGTTTCTCCTGTTCCCTCTGGCAGCACGTCCCTCTGTGGGATTTTGAGAAGCTGCTCTCTTCATTCTGTCTGGTAGCACAGAAATACAGAGAAGAAACAAACAGGAAGGACTGCCTGTGAGGCAGGGCCTGGTCTTGAATCTGGTGCCCGAGCTGTGTAGCTTGCCATGGCACTGTAGCCACAGAGAAGGCTCACTGGCCCTGCCCGCAGCTGTGCCTTAGCCATAAAGGCTTTGGTTGTTTGGCATCAGATGGTCCCTGAGCATGGCGCTGCCTGTGACTTGCACACATCACTTAAGGCACAGAGTTTCCTACAACATAAGCAGATTGTTTGGTGTCTGAGTGTGCTCATGCTGGCCTCCCAGGGTTCTGTGTGTGAGACCTGGAGCATCACTGACATTCTGGCCTTGTGGTTATCCCAGGATCTCGGTGCACCACACTCATGTAAAGAATTACACTTGAAAGAATGGCACCGTTTCACAGGCTTGCGGTCAGGGTTGGACAGCAGAGTGCCGGATGCTGTGTGGACGTGGTGCCCTTCCTAAGATGGGATGGGGAGCAGAGCCCATGGAGAAGTCAGGGAGAGAGTATATACACCGATCTTAGCAGGTACTGCTCAGGGGAGCACGCGGACAGCAGCTGCCTGGCTCTTGGTGTTTCGGTGATACCACTTAGCACTGAGCCCACGTTTGCCACCTGTTCCTCCCCTTCCTTTAGGGTGGTGGTTGGCAGGTGCCTCCTGCAGGTCAGCTACAGTCAGGGTTGATGTTCCTCACACGTCCCTTCTCCTCCATACACCACCGCCTCTCTGTCCCCTGCCCCTAGGGCTCTGTGGCCTCAGCCCCAGAGTTCATCTCTCCAGTGAAGCACTTCTGAGGAAGGAAAAGCCCTCTGGGCAGGCAAGGAGAGTGCTGTAGCTGGTTGTAACATGATGCATTCTCCCTCCTCTTTGTGCCTCACGGCCTCTTCTGATTCAGGACTTTTCCTGGGACTTTTTGCTCTCTGACATCTTGAATGCTTCTTGTCTTTGTTTTTGAGCTTGTGCCAGAATTTCCCAGCCGGGTTGGTGTCAGTCTCATTGTGCCTCTGCTCTGCCATCACCATCAACATCACTATTGTTGTTACCATTGCAGAGATACTGTACGGCGACTTCCTGAGCTGGAAGCTGGAAGAAAATCTCACCCAGTTTCCCCTGCAGCCTGGGCAGGCGGCCACCTTCACTGTCACCATGAAAGTGAGCCTGGATTTCTCCTGCCAGGAGGGTCTCCAGCAGGACCTGAGTGACAGTAAGCAGCTCCCTCGTTTCCGAGAGCTCACCCGCTCCCAGGTGTGCATTGTAGCCAGCTCTCCATGGTGCCTGCCACCGGCCATGTGACTCACCCATCTGAGACCTCTCCTACTTTGTTAGCAGCGTGGCTTACTGCAGGCACATTATAGAGACAATTTCTCAATTCCCACTCTTGACTGTCTTGTCCTGATTTGCTAGGTGGTCGTCCTAAGGGAGTGGAATGCTGTAATTTTCCCCCCAAGTGTGCCTGCTGTGTTGGTGGGACACACAGTGGTGATGATGGAGTTCTCCCATCTGGTGATGCCAGTAAGGAGACGGAGCTGGGGGCAATGGGAATTGTATCTGCTGCAGCACCAGGCCTGGCCATGTGGGGACGTGAGTTCACAGATTAGCTGTGTCAGGTTGTCACATGCTCTTCTGGAGGCCTTGGGCTTGTGTTAGTCAGCTCAGGCTGCTGTAACAAACCCCACAGCTGGCCTGGCCCAGCCACAGACATTGACTTTCTGCTGGTTCTCAGCATTGCAAGTCTGACCCAGGTGCTAGCATGGTTGGGTTCCTGGTGAGGGCGGCCATCTTCTTGCTGTGTTCTCATTGGGTGGAGTCAGATCAACTCTCTGGTATTTCTTCCCCTTCCCTTTTTTATTTTTTAAGATTTATTTATTTACTTGAGGGGCAGTTACGGGTGTGTGGTGAGGTAGAAACACACAGGGACGCATGTGCGCACACACACACACGCACAGAAACACACAGAGTGGGAGAGAAGAAAGATCTTCCATCTGCTGGTTCACTCCCCAAATAGCCACAATGGCTGGGACTGTGCCTGGCAGAAGTCAGGAACCTGGAACACCATCTAGGTTTCCAGTGTGTGTGTCAAGGGCCCAAGCTTGGGCCATGTCCTGCTCCTTTTCCAGGCACATTAGCAGAGAACTGGATCAGAAGTGGAGTAGCCAAGACATGAACTGGTGTTCACATGGGGTGCTGGGGACACAGGTGGTGACTTAACCCCCTGTGCTGCAACACCAGCCCCAGTAAGAACATTTCAATCCTGTGTTTTAAGGACTTTGGAGTCTTCATATACAGTACATGACTTTCATCTCCATGAATGTGATGTAAATGACAGACCCTCCTGTGGGTGTTTTGGGTCCGGGTATTCCTGAGTGTGTTGCAGCTCCCATTCCTTGTCCGTTCACCTGCCAAGGGGCATTCATGCGTTTCCGTTGTCTTGGCTGTGGTGAGCAGTGCTGCAGTGGACATGTGAGTGAAGACATGGCTCTGCCATATACATTATGTATTCCTGTATATACCACATACACACATTACATTCACACGTACATATCACATGCATGTACACAAACACATCACACATATACATGTCACATATGTCACATGCGTGTACACGCACACATTACGTGCATGTACATATACACCTTACATGCACATGTACATAAATCCAGATGTGGGCTGGTGGGGTCCTGGGAGAGTTTGAGTTGTTTTTAGCTTTTAGCGGTTCTCCATGCTTGTTTTCAACATGCTGCACTGACTGACATTCCCTTGAGAAGTGTGCTAACCCCTCTTTCTGCACCTGTGGCTTGGGTCTTTTGGGAATAGCCAGTCTAGTGGAGTGATATGCCATCTTATATGGTTTTATTTTTATTTATCGATTTTGAAGATTTGTATGTTTATTTGAAAGTTAGAGTTGGAAGAGAGAGTGAGGGACAGAGAGAGGGCCCTTTCATCTGCTGGTTTGCTCCCCAGAAGGCTGCAATGGCCAGAGCTGCCCCAGACCAAAGCCAGGAGCCAGGAGCCCCTGGATGCAGGGACCCAAACACGTGGTCCATCCTCCACTGCTTTTCCCAGGTCATTAGCAGAGAGCTGGATTGGAAGTGAAGGGAGTGGGACAAAATCCAGTGCCCGTGTGGGATGTCAGCGTCTCAGGTTGCAACTTACCCGCCTTGTCACAACACTGGCCTCTCTGTGTGGTTTTAATTTGCATTTCTCTGATACTTGGCGATGGTTACTTGTATGTATGTCTTCTTTCGAGAAATGTCCATTCAGGAGCTGTTTGTTCTCTTGTTACTGATTCATTTGAGTTCTTTGTATTAAGGTAGTAACCCCTCACCTGATAAATGATTTCAAGTATCCTCTCTCAGTGTGTGGGTCGGTTCTCTACTCTGTTACTTGTTTCCTTGCTTGGAGAAGGATTTTCTGGTATGCAATCTCACATGTCTATTTTTGCTTTTGTTGCCCACGCCTTTGAGGTCACATTGAAGAATTACTGCTCAGACCAATGCCATGGACATTTCCCTCTGCTTTTCTCTAGTCATTTTAGAGTTTTGGGTCTTATGTAGGAATTTATTTATTTATTTACTTATTGGGATATGTGTGTATGTATGTGTGAATGTGTACATATATCGATATCAAATCTCTAGCATAAACCACTATCACAGGCATTTAATTTTAATGTATTTTCATCTTATTTGAAAGGCAAAGGAGGCTGAGAGAGAGAAAAGAGAGAGAGAGAGAGGAGAAAGATCTCCCATTTTCTAGTTCACTCCCACAAAACCTTCATAATATGGAAAAGGCTTATGCTACTTCAAAAATCAGAATACAGATTTATAAAATACATTCAATTTTGTAAAATGTTTCTATTATTTATTTTGACAGGCAGAATTAGACAGTAAGAGAGGGGGAGACAGAGAGAAAGGTCTTACTTCCATTGCTTCACCCTCCAAATGGCTGCTATGGCCGGAGCTGCACCGATCTGAAGCCAGGAGCCAGGTGCTTCCTCCTGGTCTCCCATGTGGGTGCAGGGCCCACTGCCTACCCGGGCCACAGCAGAGAGCTGGACTGGAAGAGGAACAACCGAGACAGAATCCAGCACCCTAAACGGGACTAGAACCTGGGGTGCCGGTGCTGCAGGTAGATTAGCCAAGTGAGCTGCAGAGCTGGCCAATAAATTCAATTTTTAAAATCAATACAATTTTTTTAAAAGAATAAACAATACTAAATAAACACATAATGTTAATTGTGCCTGTCTATGCACAGTTAGGATGCAGGATGAGGAATTATTTTTTTCCTATCCACTTATATTTTTCAAGATTTATAAAAGGAACATACATAATTTGTAAGCTAAAATTTATCATTAAATTGCTTCAAAGTGTGGGCGGCATTGTGGTGCAGCAGGTTAAGCTGCAGCTTGGGACACCCACATCCCACACTGGAGAGTCTGGTTCAAGTCTCGGTTGCTCCATGATGCAGATCTGGTTTCCTGCTCACGTGCACCACGGGAGGCAGCAGGTGATGGCTCAAGTGCTTGTGTCCCTGCCGCCCACATGGAGACCCGCAAGGAACTCTGGGCTCCTAACTTTGGCCTGGCCCAGCCCTGGCTGTTGCAGGCATTTGTGGAGTGAACCGCTGGATGGAAGATTTCCCTCTCTTTTTTCTGTCACTCAGCGTCTTACATAAATAAACAAACAAAATTTTTAAATGCTTCAACTTGAATTTTCAAAAAGCTTTTACAAAGAAAACTTGGGATCTGCTGCCACCCTCCATCCGGGTACAGAACCCAGCACCATAAAAGGTCAGAGGCGGACAGAAACTGCAAGGTGCCTTTGAATGTCAGGGATTCCTAGACCTGAGATGACTGCGGCAGCAGCGACAGGCATCCAGGACTGTGCAAACTCGGGACACACACAGTCACTGCCATCCCTTCCCCACAGATCAGGAAGCCAAGGCTCAGAGACTCACCCCAGGTCAGGGGTCTGCCAATTCTCCCACCACGTGCCCAGATTACACTCCACTCCCCGCAGCACGCAGACACTGCCTAAGCAGCCATCATCCTGTAGGAAGACCCTCCCTGACACCACTCAGCGAGATTCCATCCCTTGAAGAGAAACAGCAGTCCTCTAACTCCTGGCTCTCACTCTGCCTGGGTTATTAAGCCTTCAGAAAAGACAGTGTCAAGTTGTTCAGCTCCACACAGACTGCCTGACTTACAGGGAAAGACAGCAGGTTCTGTGTCCCCAGTAGCGCACAACCCATGGAGAGATCAGCTAGCTAAGGGACGCTAGGAGCCAAATGAAATGATCTCATTGAGAACTCAGCCAGGTAATCCAAAGGAGAGGAGGAAGAATCTGCTGACTTCTTAACAGCAGGGGAGCTGGGGAAAGGAGTAGCCCAGAGCTTCTGCCCCGGCAGGAACAGCACCAACTACGTGACGGGCTCCAAGAACCAAAAATGCCCAGTAAACCAAATACATATTATGTAGATGGGGAAAGTATGAAAGCAGGCTAAAAAGATGGCTTGAAGCAAACCATGAGTGTCCTTGAGATAAAGCCAAGACTTCACAGGGTACATAAGGCCAGTTCCACAGGTCCCGAGCTAAGAAGAAGGTGCAAACTCTGCCTAGCCTGTGACAAGTAGGCTGGAAAGAGCCAAGCCAGTGGATGGGGAATTACATTGAGAGGGTGCTGCAGCTTGCAGAGCAGGAGGGACCTGAGATTTGAACCAGCCCCGTGACAGTGGAAAGGGGAAGAACTGGCCCAGGTAAGATCAGCTCATATGGACATAGGACACGCCAGGCAGGTGGGGCCCAGGTGAGATCAACTCACACGTGGACAGAGGACAAGCCAGGCAGGAGGGGCCAAGGTGAGATCAACTCACATGGACACAGGACACAGCAGGCACAGAGAGGGTGCAGGACAATTTGGGGAGACTTCCAAGACTAAGAAGCTGGTAGCACCCTTGACTCAAAACAGGAAATTCAGGAGGAAATGACAGAAAATTGAACAGAGGAGATAGTGAATTAGGCTCCCATTAAAAGCTAGGGGACCAGCCTATACTAGAGTCATAGTATCACAAGAAAAAGCACCACAGTGAAGAAACCAAATATCTCCAATATGCCAAATAACAAATGCAAAAACTGAGATAATAGAAACAAGGAAGTCACCATGACGCCCCCAAATGAAAAAGACACCCCAATTCAAGATTATGAAGATGATGAGATAGAAGAAATGCAAAAAGCAGATCTCAAAAAATTGATAAGAACATTAAGAAGTTCTCAAAAACAAATTCTTGAACTACAGAAATCCTTAATGGACAAGGTAGAAAATCTCTCTCGTGAAAATGAAATATTAAGGAGGAATCAAAATGAAACAAAACAACTAGTACAACAGGAAACTGTGATAGTGACGAGAAATCATAATGAAGTGAAGAATTCAATAGATCAAATGAAAAACACAATAGAGAGCCTTACAAACAGAATGGGTGAAGCAGAAGAGAGAATATCGGACTTAGAAGACAGAGAACAGGAAAGGATACAGTCAGACCAAAGAAAAGAAGAGGAAATTAGAAATCTAAAACATATTGTCAGGAATCTTCAGGATACTATTAAAAAACCCAACATTCGGGTTCTAGGAGTTCCTGAAGGCATCGAGAGGGAGAAAGGATTAGAAGGCCTTTTTAGTGAGATATTAGCAGAAAATTTCCCAGGTTTGGAGAAGGACAGAGACATCCTAGTACAGGAAGCTCACAGAACCCCTAATAAACACGACCAAAAGAGATCCTCACCACGACACGCTGTAATTA